TTTTTTTTTTTTTTTTTTTTTTTTTTTTTTTTTTTGTTTCTTAGGGACAAAGTCGGACTATAATCGTGCAATTTAAATAAGTACATAATACAAGTACACATTCTTATATACACGGACGGAAAAATCGAATGATTGGTTTTCATTTATCCTACGTGAATTCTTTGTTTTTATTATTTTTCCTTTTTCCTTTTTCTTTTTTTCCCATTTTCCCTTTTTTTTTCTTTTTCTTTTCTCTATTATTTTTCCTTACTTTTTTTTTCTTTATTTTGTTTGTTCTCTTTTTAGTCTCGTTAATTTTATTATTCGAGTTCTCGAACGAGTTTTCCAGGACAATTGTTGGCACTTATATAATATTTATTAATTAAATTGATAGTTGATTGAGAGAAAAAAGAAATGAAATGAAAAAAAAAAAGAAATAAAAAGAGGGAAAAATTGATTAACGCGTTGACGATCGTCGATGAAATTTAAAAAGGTGTAGGGGATGGGGTAGAAGAAAAGAAAAGAAAAAAAAGAATCGAGAAATATATATATATATATAAAATGAAAAAAAAAAAAAAAATGTCAGACTAAATTTTACAGGAAAAAATATTAAAAAGTAAGTTTCTATATCGAGGAATTGAAAAAAGCATCCCATTAGATATACTACCTGCGTTTAGAATTATTATAAACATTTATACATGCAACACACACATACATGCCACAACACATGTACTCTTGTATTTATTACGATCGTTATTAATGCGAGTAGTCGTTCTACTGTATAATACAAATTCATCGTATTATAATAATCGATGTATCGAAATTTTCTTTTCTTTTTTCTTTTTCTTCTTCTTCTTCTAAATTGCAAAACAAACCACACAAATTCACGCGTTTCTTATTACTTTTGCGAATGAAAAAAAAAAAGTATGCGAGAGAGAGAGGGAGAGAGAAAGATAGAACACGGATAATTATAAATAATTTAAAAAAAAAAAAAAATATTTAGAATACTAACGCGCGGCCGGCGTTAGTCATAAATTAGTCAGTGCGGTGCGATTAAACGAATACAATAATAACGAGAGAGAAATTAATACATTTACACACCACGGTTTTCACGATTTACATATTATGGAAAAACAAATCAAACAAAAATAAAAAAAAAACACACAAAAAAAGAAAATAAAGTATAAATAAATAATAAAACAAATTCTCCATATATAATATAAGAAATTCTCGTTATGGCGATATATCGGACGACACACACACATATATAAAAAATGAATGACGGAATGGTGTTGTGTAGATTTTTTTATCTTTGAGATTGTCTATGGCTATTCTATTCTAACGATATATAAATTTTGTCAACAAACACAGAATATTTGACGGCGAATCGGAGAGTGATAAAGTGCGGGAAACGTTAAAAGAACCCCCATAACACAAACACACGTACACACACACCCACAGATCGTATATATATATGGGGTTGAAAAGTTTTGAGCCTCACCGCAAAATGTTGTATTTTTTAAACATAAAAGTAAGTAAGTAAGTTCTACTGAAAAAGAAAATGGAAAAAAGACAAGACAAGAAAAGAAATAACATTTGTTTCTATTTTAGGATGAAATCTTTTTAACCCCATCCCTCTACACCCATTTATGTTTATTAGCACGAAAGGGTAATTATGACGGTGAAAAATATTCGACAAATTTATCTGATGATTTTATCTGACCATATGAATAAAAACATAATTAATCAAAATTTATTTATGACCTTCACATATAAATTTTTAATATATAAGATGATTATTAAATAAATATTTTCAATATATTATTGTTTCCCAAATTATAGTCTCATTGTCATGATTACTTATCGAAACACACGTGTGTGTATGTATGATGTGTATGCGTGTATGAGAGAATAATAATCGCGTACATGTGTGACACATTCAATAGCGTAATCGTAAATATGATTAAAAAAATATTGTATGTACATATGTATTAGTATTAATCATTACATATACATATGTACATATAAATATATATAAACGACGGGGAATAGTCAAGAGGAAGAATTAATAAAACCACACAAAAGATAATGCGATTAAAATTAATTTAAAATCGTATGAATGGAAAACGTCTTAGGCATGTAAAATCGCGATTAAAATGTTAATTATTAACTATAAATAATTATATATATATATATAAAGAGAGACACATGGTTTGATTGTATTAAAAACAAAAAAGGAAAGAAAAGGGCAAAAAAAAGTATAACAAAAAATAAAAAAAAACTCACCTCGCGCTTGAGTTTTTGAGACCACATTGTGATTTTCGATTGTATTAATTAATAACGCGTAATGTTGTACGATATTAGACGTAATATTATATTATTATTATTAATATTATTATTATTATTATTAATATTATTATTATTATTTTATTATTATTATTATTATTAATATTCAAGTAATAAAGAAATTAAGACGAAAAAGTAAAAGAAGATGATGTTGATGATGCTAATATAACAAAAATAATAATAACGACAACAACAACAATTGCAACTAAGAAGAGAAAAAAACAAATCATTGGAAATTATTAACACGAGAGACCCACGCGTGATCATTTTTTCTCTCTCTCTCTCTCTCTTTTTCTCTCCCTCTGTCTTTTTCTATTACATTGAATCCCACCCCATAAACTACACCCCTCTCCCCATTCTTTCTCCACTGTCTTTTTAAATCAAATTTTTCATTAACCATTCCCTTCTCTCTGTTCTATTATCATTCACCCTCTCTTTCTCTCTCACACACACACACATAGACAGACAGACAGACACTCTCGTTTCCTACGAAAAATTTTTAGAAAAGACTAAACACGAAAATAATGAATTAAATAAATAAATAATTAATGAATTAAATAAATAAATAAATGAATGTGTCGTCGCGATTTTTTCAAAGAGACTGAAATTAGCGCACGGCACTTTTAAAAATCGTCGGCGACCATTTCGAAATATAATACGATAATGATGATTATGATTATGATGATTATGATGATGATGAAGAAGAAGAAGTGAAGGAGGAGGAGGAGGAAGGGATGGGGAAAGTTATTTAATGAAAAAAATAGTATTACTAGGGAGTATAGTGTTATAGGAACTTGTATATTTGAAATGGAATGAGAAAAAGTGAAACTAATACACGCGAAATACACACGCATAGATTATAATATAACACACGGATAAGTGGATTCAACATACATACACATACGCAAAACACATAGAAAAACGTACACGCGTATAAATAATAATAATAATACGATTTGTAAAAGATATTATATACGAGTATGCAAGTGTGATGATGATGATGATGGTGATAATGAAAAAACAAATGTTTAAAAATATCATAGTGTGAGATTACGAGAGGAAAAATTAAAAAAACCGACTATGGGGTTGGGGATTATGTGAAAATATAATTTTCAATGGTGAATAATAGAAAAGTTGCGATTAATCCATTTGCGACGACGGCCCATTTATTGATTGTAAAAAGTAATACACATATAATACATACACATACACATATATTACAAACACACACAGGCGAGAAAATAACACGCATTGTAAGATATCATTGTAAAGAAAAAAAGGAAAAAAAAAGAAATGGAAAAAAAAAAAAAAAAAATAACGGTTTTAACTTAAAAATAAATTAAATATGAAGAAGAGATAAATCGTAAAACATACACCGAGACCAATCTTTAGTCGAACGAACGTTAAAATGCGAAAAGTATATATATAAATAAATAAATAAATAAGTAAGTAAGTAAATAAATAAATAAATAAATAAATAAATAAATATAAATATGAACATATTAAGTATGAAATTGCAAATATATATAATTTAACATAGACATACAAAATATATATGTATATTAAATNTAAATAAATATAAATATGAACATATTAAGTATGAAATTGCAAATATATATAATTTAACATAGACATACAAAATATATATGTATATTAAATATGTACGAGTACAGTATATATCTATCTGATCATCTGATAATTATTTTTTTTTTTCTTTTCAAAATACCTCCGCGAAATAATATTAAACCATTTACCAAACCCCCCCACCCCCACCCCCACACACCCAAGATATCGAATTAATTTTTCTATGATTCAATTGATTATTTTTAT